ATAGAAAATCGCCTGTATCTCCTCGAGAAAGCAAGCTCGCTCGGCGAAACATATGATATTATGGAAGTAGAAATTTTGACCAATCGAATACCTCAGAGAAATTCATATGATACTGAGCAAACCTGAGTGCACCGTCACCTTGAATACCGTAACGCTTACAGTGCTATATTAATGTAAACAATTGATCTACAGTCATACAATGTACTTGAAAGAGTGCCTCTGCGCTAATTGAGATGGCTTCAGTAAAATAGCTATATCTCCTCAAAGGAGCAAAATCGCTCAGCAAAATTTATACTGATCGATCGATGAAAAGAAATTCACATGTTACTAGGCAAACTTGAGGGTACGGTAGGCTTGAATGTGATACACGCATCAGAATCTCTAGATTCAGAATATTAAAAATTTTACGCAATAATTCTACTTTCTTAAGGAGATATAGCAATTTTCTTAATAGTATCTTGGGTGCCACCTTCAAGGCTACCGTATGCTCAAATTTCCCCACTAACATATAATTTTTTTTGCATCGTATGATCCAGCTGGATCTCTACATTCAGATAAACATATATGTTGCTGGGCGATTTTGATTTCCTGACAAGATATAGCCATTTTCCTTAGATCCATCTCATTTATTTAGCGCAGTCGCGCTCATTCATGCAAATTGATCACGATAGAGCAATTATCAATACGTTCATATAGCAATAGGCGGATTACGATCTTCGAGCTGATCGTCTTCTCAGCTTTGTCCGGGAATATGTCAATTTCTTCTCACCAATCGATCCAGCAGAACCTCTAGATTAAAGGCGGATGAAATGCTACATTTGAAACTGAAGGGAAATGTTCGTCGAAGTAAAAAGAATTTTTCGCTATTTTTTACTGCATGAAATGTGACATAGCTTGTATTCTAACTGCAAAAAATTTTGCTAACCTGATTATCCTATTTATGAATATTACATGGAAAATCTCTCATGAGAAAATTTATCAGAGTTGATCTGCATCGAATGTTGGAATAATTTTTTTCCGATTTTACAGTAATTACGCAGGATATCTTTGACATATTCCATAATTCCTGCGCAATTACTGTAAAATCGAAAAAAAATTATTCCAATATTCGATACAGGTCAACTCTGATAAATTTTCTCATGAGGGATTTTACATCGAAAATTCATAATTAGGGCAATCAGATTAGCCAAATTTTTTGCATTAAAAATGCAAATTTTGTCACATTTCATGCAGTAAAAAATAGTGAAAAATTCTTTTTACTTCGACGAACACTTCACTTTTAAATGTAACATTTCATCCGCCTTTTGATAGCAGTCGTTCTTATGAGTATATATTCAACAACTTCTCATCTATGCGACCTTCAATCTGAAAAAAAAAACGCCTGAGAAATGATACTAATTGCATAAATATACTTACTGGCATAATGCATCACAGTACAGGGTAAAGTGTGATGCCCAATCTTTTGATTTGTCCTATCGATATTTCTTATAATCATCGCCCTTCATATCCTAATGTTGAATCTTTGTGATCTAGTTAATTCCAGAGGTATCTGTCTATGTTTAATTCGATATTCTCTCATATTAAAACTCAAACTTCTTATAGATCTCCCATAGTATCTTTGCGTTTGTTTCTTCCACTTATGTTCACTGTGTCATTGTGATAGCTTGGAGAAGTGAATTCTTGATCTGATCAAACTATTGTTTCTCCAAAGTGCCGTTGATTCTGAGATAAACTTTTCATTTTTAACTCTAAAGCAAAAATTCGAAATGATTGCTGCTGGATTATTCATCAAGGCAGTGAAAGTCGCCCGTTACTAAAATATTGCATTCGGCAGATGTCCGTCCATTCAACATTAAATCGATGAACGCCTTGTGTCTGAATGTGTTGTTTCTTAATAGTATATTTATTACGGGTTGAAATATTTTCTCGTTCATGTCACGTTTCTGCAATTATACGGAGAGTATTGTCTCGTAGATAGCGAATAAAGTTTGGTAATCGTGTGGTTAACGTGTTTGTGAAAGGGAGCAATCTGAGGATTCCCTTTGCCTTCGGCTGAGATTCATCCCGCAGCTTACTCTGAGACTGAAACTCGATACGAGTTACATTAAGGCCTATGCCAAGAGGCTAATGCTTATTCAGAGTTCACGCTGAAGCTTGCACCACTGCCTCCTTTCATTAAAAGATGTCTTCAAATTTATGCGGTGTTTTACGTAACCACTGAAAACTTTTGTTAAAAGCTGCCGATTAATCCGTCAAAAGTAATTTCAGAAACAATCAGAACACGATGTCATCAAAAATTGATAAAGGCACTGGTGAGGTTATTTTTATCGTAAAATTTGTATGAACAACTCGAAGTTTTGCTAAATAGATTCAGCAATTCATTGTCTGATAATGTCTTATCACTGTGCACTGATAGTTCATGTTCTCAAAAGAGTTCATGATAGGTTCATGTGTTGATGCGCGGAAATTAAATGATTTCATAGAATAACCGTCGGAAAACTGCACGAGACTTTTGTTGCTTCAAAAAACAAAAGAAAACTAAATTTTTCACAGAAATTAATTTTTGTAATTGACAAGAAGTGTAGATTACAATTTGCTGGGATGATTTTCGCAACACTAAAAAGAGANTCCGAGATGAGGATATAAATTCAGATGCTGAAACGAAAAAAGATCAAGCAAGTTGTTGTTCGGCAGCTGAAATATTAGACCAGATTCAGAAACGCGAAGGGATGTGTCTTCATGGCACCGGAGGTTATTTTATTTGAATTTATCATTTTTGTAATTAAATTAATCATTTGATTAATATGTCTACAGTAATTTCAAATCAATACAATGAATAAAGAAAATTTGCCATAAATTTTAAGACGTTGGTGAACCGGAACCGGTTAATTTCGGTGAGGCTAAGCCAGCTGAAGAAATCCTGGAAAAGGTTATGCTTAGAGAAGGGATGGCTCTTCACGGAAATGGAGGTTCGAACTTTAATTTCTCATTTTCAGGGAATAGCACTGAATATCAGGTATTTTTGTTCTTATGAGGGAAGCGTAATTTGTCGTATTTCCGCTTACTCTATTTATACGATTGTAGTAGATCAACGTATCAATTAAACTGCTTTTTTAAAACCTTGGTTTTATATGATTATCAGAGATCAGTGTTTCAAATCTTTTAAAAATGCGCCAGTTCTCTTTAGAAATATTCGGAGAAGACCATACTGGTATGAAAGCATAATGCAGTGAATGCATGATGGCTGGAAGTACAGTCAGTATACATCAAATGAACTCGGCAATCATTTCTTCGCATTATTTGCATACTCATTTGTTGTTGTTTTCAATTTGTTTTTCAACACATGTTATTTCATTACTTCCTTCGTTCTTTTCTGTGTTGTATCAGATCGTTATTTTCTGTTTCGTTTTCCTCCTTTGAATAAATTTTTATGATCAGTAACTACGCATATTATATTTTACCAGTAATTAAAACAGTTATGATATCTTTGCGCAGAGCAGGATGAAAAAATAATCTCGTCCAAAGAAATGTGCAGAATTCGGATTCGTTCATTGTGAATTCTTCGACGGTTTTATATTGTATTGGAATTATTTCGATTGCTTTGTCCGAACAATTCATGGAGAGTGATTTCAACGAGGCAATGATGCTTTCTCATGATCCTTGTAAGTGATTAGAAACGACAAACATCTTCAGTACGAGATGACTGAAGTGGATGAATATTTTGATACAACTGATGCAACTTCAAAAACGTACAATTGAATTTTTCGCAAAATTTGAATTTCGCAAAGAGTATTCGGTAGAAATTCTCTGAACTTACAGTAGCAATACCAAATTTGTACAGTAAACAGAACTGATTCCGTTCCAGAAAAGATTACAAAGATGAGAATACAATTGTATTAACGTACTTATTACATAATTTATTTGCCTGGATTTATTATCCATACACTGTGCAGCTGACCTGTAGATGGCTCTAGAGCAGGAGTCGGCAAGCTAGTTTGACAGCGGGCCAAAATTTATCCGAGCAACTGATTGGCGACTGACCGGCTGGTCAACATGTTTTTCTATTGTTTTTTTTCGAACATGTTTCCTTTCCCTTATCTGTAGACTTAGGCTTGTCGAAAAAATCGTAATGTAGTCCAAGCAAAGTAGCTCCACAACGATGTGCGTTGTTTAAGTAAAGGCCAAGCGCTGGAGCGCTTCTGGGCACTGCTGGATGAGGTCAAGCCCTTCCTGAGCCTAAGCAAGAGTCGAATTGCAAACGACCACCTTGCCCTTCTACAAGATGAAATATCTATGTCCAATGTGGCATTTTTGACTGATATTTTTGGTCATCTGAACCAGCTTAACCTTCGGCTGCAGGAGAAAGACAAACCATTGTGGACATGGTTGAAAAGCTTGAGTCGTTGACCAGGAAACTGGAGTTGTTCCAGTCAGACATAACAACTAGCAGGCTCCTGCACTTCAGTACACTCAAATCACAGGCACCGGGACAAGTGACAGATATAATGGCGGATATCATCAAGCAGCTACAGGCCAACTTCAAGTCCAGATTTGACGGCTACTTCATCTTGAGGGACATCATCGCCTTTGTTCGCGCCCCCCTTGCTGTCCGAAATGCGGATATGTCCTTCCTGGCTAAAGAAACCATCAGTAGTACCTCCGAGCCTCCTTAACTACGGTAACTAGCCATGCCCACAGTTAAAGCAACCAATGGGAGCAGTACCTCCGGGATTAAGTGACTACGGTAACTAGCCATGCCCTCAAATTAAGGTAGTTAGCCAAGCACGCACATAACGAAAACGTTACGAATCGAGTAAAGCATGCGTTCAGTACTTGCAGGAAACGTTCGATGTCTTGTGGTTATAACCTAAGGCGTTCCCTGAATCAACAGATCCATGCAGCCCGCTGATTACGCCGATCAGTGAACGAAAGTAATTTATTCATTATTTGAAAATATCACTTATTTAACCTCATTGATAAGGAATTGTCAGCGATAAGGAACTAACTGAATGATAATTGATCAGATATTCTGAATGGGGTCACTCTCATCAATAACTTTTATCACTGTGAGGAGAAATCAATAATGTTGTTGCGATGGCGCAAAGAATTGAAGAGTGCCGTCTCGCTACAGCTCACCAGCGATCGTGAGCTATTGGCCATGAAACCTCTCTGGCATCCAGTCTTAAGGGATCNATCTCCGGGTGCGTCGTTCAACAGAATCTGGAGACGCCTCACTCATACCATCTCGGATTCCGATGCTAACAGTTCACCGGGTCAAGCTCAAATCCCCCAGACAGCATCGAATCTGGCCAAGAAGTGGAAATATAGACTCGCAACGGGCTCAGTCGATCCAACAGCCTTCTTGAATATGAGTGATATTAATTGCAAAAGCAACAGTAACAGTCATCATAATAGTAATTCTAACTTTACCAGAGACAATAAAACTTGTAATAACAATAACAGTGATATTAATCAAGACATCAATAATAGTATTAATAATTTCAAGTGTAATAACACCTCATTACCAAAGCTCTATACTGGTAATGAGAAGTTACTGATACCAGAGCATCATTATATTTCAGATTATTTTATATTTTGAGTGGAAGTTGTTAGTGTTCGATATTGTTAATTTATTTATTAGGTTTTGTTCGAGATTTTTTATTGTCATTAAGTTTATATTCTATTCGTTAATAGATTATATGATGTGCAAAATATTGCTTGTCTTCGTTTGCAACTTGTGGAAATTATTTTTTATTTATTTTACACGATACCGGCGTTGAATCATTTTTTGCTGTTGTCCCAGTTTTTAGTTTCTTCAGTGAACTTATTTCCAGTGATTGTTATTTTTCAGAAAATTTTTATACTTGTCATTACTAAACACTCAGAAGAATTATTATTATTGTTATTATTTTCATTTAGTAATATTGTTACTATTGTTATTATTATTATCATTGTAATCACTATCAATGTTGTCATTGTTATGAATGCTACGACTTCTGTAAAGATTGTATCCTAATTCTTGTAGTGTATTATTACCGTTTGAATATTGTTTCGTTGACNCCTATTGCTATCTCAGCTTCATTTCCATGTGATGAGAGTTTCATATTTGCAAAAACACCTCATTTTTCTTCTTGATTGCTGTAATCATGGTGATGTGATACTTGTCATTGCTGTTATCAATACTGTGTTAAATGTTGTATATACTTTCATATATGATATTTATCCCGTATTTGATTGAAAATTCTTGAACATGCAAGCATATATACATATTCGTTTAACTGATTCGTTTCTTCTCTCCTGTATTCTCCGCGTCTTGATTCTGTCCCTCTTGAACGGTTCAACTTTTGAATTGAATGCAAGTCTCTGTATATGTTGGTATTGTTTTGTTCCGTCTAATTATTGCTGTTTTCTAACTATCCTATAATGTGTGAACTACTGCGATTAGCCGCTTTTTCATGCTATTGCTGTTGAATTGCACTAGAAAGATCATCGGACGGATGGGCAAAAAATACATTAGAGTTGATGATGATACCTGAGCGTAGGGGGTGCCTTGAAACTCTGACAGTCATAATCCGATGCTTATTTCTCAAGCACTGATTCCACATCCGTGAATTTTTGAAGAAATTCGTGGGTATCTAGAGGTAAGTTTACAATTGTATTCGGAAGATCCCTGTGCTCTGAATTTCGAATACGATGATCGCAAATGATCAGTTTTTCGTTTTGCGGTAGTCATTCGGAATTATTGCAATCCTCATAGTTTAGAAATCATCACATCTCTTCTCATCAGCTTGTCTTAATTTAAATGTATTTTCGTTATTTCACCTTGTCATTAATTGTTGTTGTTGTTGAAAACCTTTCATAAGTATTTGTTTGTGTCATTTTTCCTTATGTACATGCGTACTGTCACAACGGGTAAACTCTTTGTTTTATTATCGTTTTTTTTGTGTGAATAGGAACTAAACAAATTCTTTCATAAATAAAAGTTTCTTCAAATGGTCCTATTCAATGAACACATTAAGAAGACTTATCGCATTCAAAAAATCTTGAAATGACTGTGTAATCTTCAAGAAGATTCTGTTTGGCTTCTAAAAAACCTAATTTTCGTCACAGAATTCCGTCATATCTCTATGGTTTACGTCTGTTTAAAGGGTACCAGAAGACCACTTCGCTATGCACTCTGTACAGTGAAAAATCCTGAGAGATTCTCGTAAATTCGGGATTTTTCAAAGTTACAAGAATCATATGGCGTCTTTTGTTAGTGTGCATGAATGACCGGCGAATAGAGTTTTCGAAAATGGCCCGGAAATCTTGAGGATTCCTAGAACTACAACAGAAGTGAACTAGAACTACCCAGGAACCTTTATAGGTTCTGGATTTGCCCCGTTGTCAGAAACAAAAATCAGAAAGTTACTCCAAGGCACCAGCTTGCAACCGTAACCGTAAACCCGTTACCAAGAAAAACAAGACTGGTTCCTCACCAACGCGATGCGCAGTCCTCTAACATTACAAATTTCGTCTGCAGCTAAATCCATCCACTGCCGGCCGGACAAACTCTCACAGTACGGTAGGATTGCTTACCTTTGGACCCGAATTGTGGCTGAATAATTTGTCTAATCACCTGTGGCAACAGACTGATAACTTTCGACTGAAAACCGCAAAAACTGAAGGGAACACTGAACCGCTTATGGGGAACTCCATCAGCGAGCGAACAGCTCGTAAACCATTCTATCAAGGAACACATCCGGGCTGTATTCCGAAATCAAAAACATAAACACAAGAAAAACTTTTATTCAGCTGTCGCACCGCGCACAATGGAACAGGGATGCTATATCACGTCGCTAATTCTATTCTTGAAGTCAATAAAAAGTTGTCTTCTATTGGAAACCGATGAACAGGAAATGGGAAGGCGGTGCGACAGCAACATAAATAATTCTTTTTTTGTTTTGTCTGTTAATTAATCTGCAAGTAATCATCTGTTAGTGATTTGTAGCAAGTTATAATATCATCATAATAATAATTTGTAATGTTGTATAATGTTAGTAATTTATTAATCATAACAATAATAATGTTAGTAACTTATAATAATCACTTGTTAGTAATAAATAATCACCTAAACAACACAAGTAAACATCTGTTAATTTTACACATTACATATCCTATTGTTATATGTTTATATGCTCTATTCACCAATTTTTTGCTAGGCGCCTTCATGCCGTTCAAAATTTTGATATTCGTTTCTAATTTCCCACTTTTTTAATAGTTCCTCTCGCGATTCACTCACTAGTCGCGTCACTCCGTCCCAAAGTCGACGAAGGATACAAACCAAACAAACATACAACAACACCAACAAACATAACAAGCAAATAACAATCATTATTTCAGGTTATCAAATATCTGAAAGACAAAAATATATATCCATAATATCCACAAATCCAATAATAATGATTATGACATTTCCGACCAGCATATGCCAATCCGCATATTACCAGTGATTGACAATCAATCAATTATCCAATAATCCATGAAATATCCAGTTATTCAGCTATTATCCATCAATCTCCATTAGCTAACTAATATTGTCATCCATAAGTCCATCACGATTATTATTATCCATAAAATGGCGATATTATTATCCACATATTAATTGATATTACGATCCATTAACTGACTTAATATTACCATCCATTTGATTAATGTTATCGTCTAATTAATACTATTTCCACGAACCAATTGACATAGCTATCCATAAATGAGTTAATATAGTTATCTATAATTATCCATAAATGATTTTAATACAGTTATCCATAAAAAAGCCAAATATTCATCACCAATAATCCATAAACCAAAAAATAACCGCAAATTATCCAGACAATTTTGCAATCCACAATAACCCATGAAGCAATTAATATCCCGAGGCGAATTATTGTAGTTATCGACGAAAATCCAATATTATAATCCATGAGAATCCATAAGCCAATTAATATCCAGGGACGAACTATCATATTTATCCACGAAAATCCAATTAATATTATAATCCACAAAAATCCATGAACCAATTGATAACCAAGAATGAATTATTATAATTGCCTACGAAATATCCAATTAACAATATGATCCATAAGACAATTATTATCAATCCAATCCATTGATCAATTAATATTTCCATCCATCAACCAATCAATATTCAATCAAATAATACCATAATTCACATATCATTCAATTAATATTGATAAACCGATTATCAGAACTATCCATAAAAGAATTAATACCAATCCAACCAACCTTACTACCCATCAGTACCAATCCAACTAACCTTGCTACCCATCAATACCAATCCAACCAATCTCACAATCAATCCATCAAGTAAACAACAGTATTATCCATAAACCATTAATAATAATCCAATTGATATCATTATCCATTATGTAATTGATATTCAAATCCACCATCGATTATTATCATAATCCATAGAACAGTTAACCTCACAATCAATCCATTCAATACCATCATCCATAAGCCATTACATGCAACAGAAAAACTGAATTAATATTGAAACAAAGAATGAGTCCTAGTCAATTATGTTTACTGCCAACCGTCAGTCAAATGAAGTTGGACTGATTCAACTCTAGAGTAAGTCAAGGTTTAGTCGAGTTGAATCTGAATGCCGTGGAACATCAGTTTTAAACTTTTCTTAATAATTTCTGCCTTAAGCAATAGAAACTAAGAGAACAATCCGATCAGTACTCGATTTCCACTTCATGAAGGTCTCACGTGCATACTTGCAATCGTATAACTTTTACAGAAGTACACGATACCGATTTTGAAAATGCTTGCACAGAATCACCTCACCTTGAGACTTTGCAATTCAGTTCAATGCAAGCGTTAAGTCCTTATGGTAGCATTTTAGAAATGACTCGAACGTGCTTCAAATCCAGCGGTGCTATCTAGCTCAACTTCAGTCTGAGATATAATCTCTCGAACACAGTCAACTCTTGAAGGCAAAGGCGTTGACTTATAACTTTCATTTTAATTCTCTTGAAACAATGAACTGAACCGAAAAATCCGTAATGTTGTTCATGACTGTTGAAATGTTTCGTGTAATGGAGAATTTCGGTAGCACTAATCATAGATAATAACCACACTGGCAAGGAGAACAAGGATGTATCAGTGGAACTGTATGAATGCCAACATGAACCTAGTAATAGATAAGCTTCGGCGAGCAACCACGAACCTGAGAGATTTCTCCTCATAACGCATTTAATAACACCGAAACTAAGCGATGTGATTTCATAAGTGTAATCAATGGTCAACCCGATCATAATTCCCCCCTGTTAAGGGAAAGTGCGCACGGTGAGTCCGGGAACCCTCGTTACCTGAGCAAATGCCCAAAGGCACTACTCAGGCCAACTCACGCGCAGTCCCTAGCCCCGGTCAAATCGGCGCCTTTCCCGGGCCGGGAACGCCCATACAATGTTGCTGAAATCTAATGCTAACAATACCCGGGCAAGTATCGTTAACATATTTTAGTTTATTTCTCCCCGATTCGTCGAGACTGCCGGTAGGTGGGGAATACCTGTTGCACTGACCTAAACCTAACCCCGCTTATTGGCAGCTCGACAGGTTGGGATCACCCACGCAACCAAAACCTGCTTTCTAAGAATGACCATTGACTACAGAAATAATATCACATCAGCCTTTTTCCAACTGCTATTAAATTACACTACAAGGAAGACGTTTTTCGAGTCACCACTCAGCAACTCGACTCTAAAGGATAAGTGGTCCAGGCGAACTTTCCAGACCTACCGCTAAGCTCATGAGGCGATTCATACCCTACATTCAATGAGCTCAATTTATTCACATGGAAAACATTTTTTTGACATGCCAGTGTGACCATTTCCTATACTCAGTACACTATCTCCTACAACTCTTTTGTTTAAAATGCAACTTCTGTGCCCCCAAGAGTCACCACAATCGAGCATTCATTTCTCAGCGGAGTGCTCACCTACACAACTCCTTTTAGCCAAATGTAAAGTAGGTGGAATGTTCTTCTTCATGATCTAAGGAGGCTTACAACGTCCTGAGATACAAAGTCTCAAGTTGATGCTGCTTCCTCTGGGTTAAAATACAAGCGGTGATCACATGCCGCGCCTACGTATAAAATAATTACAACTACAACAATGACAACAACAACTGAATAAATAATAAATAATAGCAAAAGTGATAAACGCTGCATAAATTTACAAAACATCTAACAAATACAAGTGAACGAATAAAGTAAAACTATATACAATACAATTATATTTACAAATACACAACACAATTATATTTACAAATAAATGTTCACGAATAAACGAAAAAAAGAATAAAGCATGCAAAAATGCGGTCACTGACCACCACTCAATTTTATTTCATCTTTCCTAAGTTTGATTAAATCGAAACAAATAATTTTTAAAAAATGTGATTATTCAATCACTGCTCATTTATTAGGGCCCTAGTGGTGAGGAGAAATGAGAAGATAAACAAAAACGAAAATCTTCAAACAGACCTGGCACCTAGGGTTGAAAGTTCGGTCTGTTGAATGAAACGTTGTTGAATTTGGAACCTGGGGATTGTTGTGTTGTTGATTTGATTATTTACTTTTCTTCACCCTCTTGCGGGTCTTCGTTTTTCTACCATATCTTCGCCCTCTTCCAGGGCTGTAGAACATCTGCTACATTCTGAAAATGAGATGTTAAATATCAAAGAATCATTGCGATGATAATAAGAATCAATAAAACAACAATTCTAAATTCGAAAGGAATTCAAATTCACAAAAACATTAAGAACAATAAACTCACCAATAGGAACACTGATGATCCCATCGCTTTGTTTGCCCAATCCAAAGAGCACCTCCTTCCACCGCAATAAGTCCTCACCTGAGGACCTCTTCTTCCTTCTTGCCCTCCTGTTGTGGAGGACTATCACTCTGCCCGACACTACGGGCTCCTGTTCCCTTTCCATTCGTTGAAATATCTAAAACCGAGATCTCTCAATGTTGAAAGATAGTCGACGATAAGCCGTAACCGATCTATCGAATTATTAATACTTCGAAACAATCACAGACGATCGCCGAAAGTTCCTACTAAACAACCAAATAAAGTAATCTCATGTCGAACATAGACGCTAAGAGTTCTCCGAACAGAACTGAATCCAACCATTTGAAAACCAAAACCCCACGTGAAGAATCCACTCTTTTATTATCACTACTGAACGAATCGCTTTAATAAAACCACCAACTTTGGTTTAAATAAGAACACCGGCTCGATTCGCACATTGAATCGAGAGGCGTAAACACTCCAAAACTGAACCAACCGAAACCTCTCATCGTGGAACTAGTATTCGTTCGGGACCAGTTTTTCGCACGGGGGGAACCCCGGCGGGGAAGAAATGGGACAGTGGGTCCCTGCAGAAAATTCGGGGAGCAAATTGCGCGAGGACGAGTGCTCCCCGTCGGGAACCTCATTCCCCAGCGAACACTACGTGGAACACAACATACCAAATGCAACACACAAACGTTTTAAATGATAAAAACGAAAAAAATCCTAAACTACAAACTGAAATCATACAGCTACATCAAGACAGATTGAACTGTGAGCAAAACTCTCCACCTAACATCAACGAACATACTAGAGAAATACTGCAGACACACACTCGCCTCGCTGTATACGCAAATGGAACGAACGTTCCAGAACGACATATATGAAGAGAAAACGACTATCTCTGTTGCACGAACGACTATCTCTTCACTTATATGCTTTCTCTTAGCATACTTATGCCATTCGGACAGTGTAATTCTTGCCATTTGTGAAATCTTGAGATTTGCATATTTCATGGATCGAAACAAATTGCTCATCACTCACTTGACTGATCATTTACGATTAGTCCCCTATCATTTCTTTAGAACAACAGTAAACTAGTTCAAAACGGAGTCCCTAGAACACTTTTAACCGATTACAAATCACAACCATCAAAAAACGTTAAATCCACGCAACAAATACAACTTAAACTAATGTATCAAACTAATTCTTGATCTCAAACAATTTACACCGAAACACGCAATTCATTCATCAACATACATTTCAACAATCTGGTGACACTTCTACATCACCTATCAAAAAGATCAATTAAAATCACAAAGGAAATCAGAATATCCCACTACAAATCACCCAAACTCACGAGTAGAAATATATTTCAAAGCATATCATGAACAAATGGGATACGGAATGTAAAGAACTGACAATGAGATTTCCTTAGAATTGCGAGTGTGTGAAAATGCTCCGAAAAATCCACGAATATTGTTATAAACCAGATGATTATCAAATTCCGCAATCATATTCATAGAAAGTTGTTAGATAAACCCAAACCCCAGTCATGATCTCAGATTCTAAAAGGGACTCAAAATTACTAACCTTTGCATCATGGATTCTTACAGCCGAAGAGCCAAACCTACACCCCCGAACAGTTCGACCGCATACGCAACCTCNAAAAACACAACACATCACAAGCCCTCACAAAAGCATTACCTCAACTATAACATATTTGATTTTCTCTACCACAACAGCTTAATAGATTCATCACAATTCAAACAACTGTATCTGCACAGCAAAAACATTTCTAAATGACCGGACCATCTCATAATTATAAAAACAAACACTTATAATTTATGAAATTACAGTTCGAACTGATCGGACCACACTTCTAACTCAAATATCACAACATTGATAAACCCTTCACATCAACGCGAATTACAGACCAAACCCCACATTTCAAAATATCTCACCTCTTCACGCACCCCGCAGCATCACATTCCCAATTTACATACATATAGTCGGAACCTATCGCAACAGAAAATGATGTCAAAGCAAAAACATTATCACAACGCAAGCAAGAGATACCGTCACAATATAAACAACATCACAGCTGCAGACTTACCATGAAAACGACACAGTAATGAAATACAATCCAATCGAATCTGAATAACATTATGAAAATAACCTCACATCGGCCGCCGAAGAACGTCCTCTATTAATTGTCCTCCTGAGACTGCGGTGCCGCGCATCGAATACCAGAACAAGATGATCAGCCAACAGAACTCGGACCTTTTCATCATTTATCCAAGATTCTGATGGACTGATTGAAACAACAACACCAGAAAAAAACCTTTATTCATAGCTGAAAAGTACAATAGCAAAAATCACT